TCCTCACTGCTGTGTCCAAATTAAGATGGTTCAGCATTCTAAAGAATGGAAAACATATGCCAGTTACATTATATGGGTACAGCTTTATCTTTTATTTCCAAATCAGAAATGTATGGCATCGTGGCTGTCATCCCTGTAATCATAACTGCATCTTTGACCACTGTCTGGTCTGAAAGTGTCCCCTCAGATCCTGAGCCTCGAGTATTTACTTCCCTTGGGGTGAAGTGGAATACTGTGATTCTCCCACTTTTAGAATGGGTTGTGGGCTACAGTGGATAAAGCATGCTTATGCCAGCAGGTCCAGCTTCATTCTGCACCTTCTGGTCTTCATTTGGGAGCTTGTTACCAGTAGCAAATACAATGAATAGACAGCCTTCTGAAAACAAAAATGTTTAATGTTAAGTTAAAGTAAAACATGAGGGGGATTTTGAAACAACAGAAGGCCTACATGCTGTCTGTCACATATAAGCCCTTCCACCCTGTGAGAGGAACCTAGGAAGGCCTAGTTTCATCAGATAGCAAGGCAGGTGTCTGTGGATGTCAGTCTGTTTCCCCCAAAACAGCTTCCTGGTAACAGCTTGCTGTTAACCAACCAGAAGTTTTCGTCTCACATTCCTGCCTTTGGACACTACTGCTCAAAACCAATTTGATGGGCTAGTGGGAGGTGAAGCCCAGGTGTTCTGGGTCAGCTGTCCTTCCATTGTCTTGTAAACCATCTCCCTAGGTTTGTTGAGGAATGTGTTATCTTGAGTCATATTTTACTTTCCTGCTTTTTTACAATAGTCTGCTATTAAACTAAACTAACATCCATACAATAAATAAAGCACAAATACACCATTAAATTCTAGAGCTGCCCTATGTCCTTCCGAGTTTCTGTTTCTAATAATTGGTGCCAGCTATTAAGCCATAATATGTGTCCTTTCTTATTTTCCTATTGGAGTATGACTGACTGCTAGAAAACCAGTGATTAAGCAGTGCTGATTGTTGTTTGTATCTACTTGTTATGATTACCACTTTGCCTTAGAAATGATGTTAATTGGGCTCATTTGTGATACTTTGGCAGACTTTGCTGTATAACAAAATGAAAAGTGACACTTTTGTTTGAATGAGTACATAAAGATACACATCTGCAGCTTTAATGCATGCCAGTAAGGATTGTATCATGAAAAAATATAATGCAGTTTAATCTGCTTCACAAACTTCTTGTAAGTATCTTTAACTGATTTGTGGTTTACATGAATGTTGTGTTTTTATAGCTGTGTTGGTCACAGAATATTAGACACCCAGTGTGTGACGTTTTATCTCTTATTGGATCAGTTCTATTGGTGAGGGAGACAGAAGTTGGTTCAATAAAAGTCTTGCTTTATCTTTTTATATAAATGTCAGTCTTCTTTAGTCTGAGTAAGTGCCCTTCTTTTTTTCATTGCCTCTGAAAGCCAGGTCTTTCAATCAGCACATGCAATGTTAATTATCAACATGTATAACAGCAAAAGAACTTCCCCCGGCTATCCTGTCACATGCCCTACAGGTTGTCACTAAAGTTCAGGATAATGAGGCACATTGGTGGGTTATTGTAGCAGTACTGCCAATCCCAAATGTTCAGAAATCATGAGTCAAGCTCAAAAATCATGAAATTGGCTTTAAAATAACGAGATTATATAAAAATAATAGATATGTTTATTTGCCTTCTTTCTGAGCCTTCAGGGTGCCACATTTTGAAGCTGTATTCTCAGCTGTGAGGGCTAGAACCCTACGTTTTCTTTAAGAATGATGGCTGAAATTGTCATATAATACTTGACTCCAGGAGCTGGGGCTTTAATAATACAATTATCATGAGACTCATGAACGTGGGCAACACTTTAAGCTTATGCTGCTGACTGTGCTCTAGTTGGTGGCAGATATAACTCGGACATCTCAGAGCTACAAGAGAAAGCAATTATGTTTGTCAATTCTAAATAAAATTGTCTTATAACAAATGTTTAATTCTATGTACAGTTTCAAGACCTGAATTCCAAAAATAACTTTTATCAGAGCCTGAATACTACTTGGGAATAAATTCAAAGATAACAGTACTAACAGATTTTTCATTATTAGCCTGACTAAGAATTCTTCTCAGATTTAATTCAGATTAACAAAATCTTAAAACTACTAAAACATACTTAAATTGCTAAATCTTTCTTCTACTCCCCCCCCCTTAGTTTTGAAGATTTTACTGCATTTTCATGAACAGATTTACAACCTACTAGTATGTATGCAGAAGAAATTTTTAAAATGCCAGTATATAAATTCTGCGATATTAGAAGAATGGGTTACTTGAATATACATGTGTGATAGTATTTTTAATATTAAAAATACTGGATTAAAATGTGGAATCTAGAAAGTTGTTTTGTACTCTACGAGCCAAACTAAATATAGTTTCTTGATTGTTTTGAATGTGAAGATGCATAATTATTGAGTATCCCCAAAATGTGGGATTTTATTCTGATGGGAGCACTTTTTATTCTGATGTAGCTTTACACTGCAAATAAATATGCTGAAAGAATGAAAATGTTTAATATAAATGCTTTTGATAAAATTAGAAATATACAAAATTTTATATCAGTACATTAAACATGTAAAATCTTCTTAGTTGATATCTCTAGTAATTATTTAACATTGATTTCTAATTATGTGTATGATATTTTTGAGAACTAAAATGTGCATTGCCACTTGAGCAAATGAATTTGGTGAATGTGTGATCTTACTGTATAAAACACATTACTGACAGCATTTTTGAGTGGTTCAGACATTGGCATCATCAAAAAACCAAATAACCCTAAACATTATGAAGTCAGTTTTCCTTAATCTTGCACATGAACTGTATTTTTAACAATATGGTTTGTATAAGACTTTTGTACTTACCTAAGTAGCAAAAAAATAAATTGATTCTTAAACTCCCTTGTGTTCCTGTTTTTAAAAAACTTAATTTCCTCATCCCTAGGCAGTCTTAGTTTATGTATATATATATAAATAAAATCTGTCAGGTGGCAATGAATTTATGCCACAATTTTACTTTTGCAAGAGCTGCTTAACTTCCAGTAAAAGACCTACTGTTGATAATTTTGACCTATATTTAATCCAGGAAGATTGAGATCGTGCTTGAAGAATCAGTTTCAGATATTAGCTTGCACAATTCTGAGTTTGCTTCTCAGCTGTAATTTTTCTTGCCATGTTTACAAATAACAAGAAACTATTGGTATTTTCTGCTTCTCAGTCTGGCTTGCATTAAAGTTAAAATGCTCTGGTTGTCACATTGCAGTTTCCATTATTGCAAGCTATAATAAGTGTTATGACAACTGTATAATTATGGCTTCAGTGTATGGTGGGTCAGGAGGAGACCCAAAGCAGATTATTGGGCTTAACCCATATTGGTTTATCAGTAAGTACCAAGACACTTGTGTCCTGCAACCTTTTCTACTTTATTCAAGTATTTCTGCATGCAGCATAAAAACAATACCTTTTCCCAAACTCTTGTGATGTTTTTTAAAAGAAGTAGTGCAGTCCATGATACAGGATGAGCTGTTTTTCTTCTGTGTCAATGTGTTAAATGTTAGAGTAACCCAGGAAGAGCTAGACTTCATGTTGCAATACCCAATTCTTAAGTACCAAGAAAATCACTGATATCATGAAGCACGATGTAGATGCTACAAAAGCTAGCATCCTAGGCAGCCACTTGAATGCATTCTTTATATCAGTGCTGATAAGCCCCACCTCTTTCTGGGGGTTAGGCACCTAAATTCAAGCTGAAAGCATTTTCCTTACAAATTTTAACCTAGTGTTTAGAGTCTTCACTGAGCATGTGGAAGACACAGGTTAAGTTCTGGCCTCTGATGGGGTGTGTGTGTATTTAAAAAAGATCAGGCCCATATGCTGGGGAGAGGGAGGTGAAGGGTGCAAAAGCACCTCCCCTCTCCCACTGTCCCACAAGTAAG